TCCATGACTGCGCCCTCCCAGGATTTACCACAGCAACCTTCTCTGGTTCCACGTCAAATAAATACCCAGCAATGTCTTCATTTGCTCTCTCCCAAGGCTGATGTCATTTAACGTATGCAATACTGAAAAAGCTCCTACTGTACTCCATGTAGGAAAAAACCTGCTACACCCCATAAATGGTTTAGCAGTCACTTATGAACCTGAATTTTAATAGTATTTTATATAAACCCTTAGACACTAAGAAAGGGGTCTACATTCTCACTGCTGTCACACTACTTCCTACTATGCAGAGGTATTTTTTTCTTACTTTTTCCCCTGCAATGAGCTCAAGAAACCATAAGCTGCCACGTTCAAAGAACCCCAGCAGTTGTGAGCTTTCTTCAAGTTCCCCTCCCAGAAACAGGGAAAAGAGATAAGAACAGGAGGGCCATCCTCTCACATTGAACAGTTAGCAGCATTGGGCTCTTCCAATGCTTGGTTGTTTCTAGCTAAAACGGTTGCCAAGTCTGTACAACCTTCTCTCCAAAGCTGCACAACTCCTGGAAATTCTTCCTTTCCCCTATTTGCAAGCTAAAAATAATTGGGCTTTTCTCTTCCCAAAATGGCGTATGTTGGGGCTACATATCTATTAGATGCAAGAATTTTTTCAGCCTTATTAATTACAAAGCTATAAGCTACATTAAGCTGTTCCCAGGACTCCTGTTACACCCGCTAAAGCAACTGGCAGAAAACACAGCAGCACCTCCCCTCCGCCTGTCCGAGGCCGACCCCATCAACAGGCCCTCATCTTTTTACGTTCCTTTACATAACAAATTTTATAGGGGCAGCCTTGCACTCTACGCTCAAAACTAGCAGAAACTACACAGGATTTCGCCAGCAATGGAGCTTCTGGGTGCAAAATAACTGAAAATATAGACACACACATTTTTTTTTTCAAATATCTGGACACTGCTCAACCCTTATGGTTTCACAGTGAACATTCCCAGAGTTGTGACTTTTTTTTATTGTTATTCCAAGGTCTTCTGAAGGTAGCTCCAGTTCCTGCTATTAAAATTTCATTTTTCTATTGTAGTTTCTCTGTAGTTAATGAAGTGACATCCACTTCCTGCCCAAGTAAATGGCTGTACCAGTTAAGCACACACAAGGCTCAAGTCTCAAACGTTTCTTTCAGGACTGCGTACAGTATCTGCAACATTATTCACTCCAACCAAGAAACCGCTAAGGCCGCGGCAAATTGTCACAGTAATGTGAATGCACCGATTTGATAACTGTTGTATTGTTCCTCCTTTTCAATGATCTTTAGATGATTCGAGAATAGAATCTTTGCCTTTCATTTAGGTCAACCTGCCGGTTTCAAAAAAGGTCCAAATATGTTCCATTTCAGCAGATTGTCTCGCTTCTTTCCACAAAGTGCTAACTAAATTTGCACCACCAGATTTCTAATGCGTCACCTGCCGTGACAAAACCAGTGCTGCCATTGCCAAGGCAATGTTCCTTCGGTTGCAGAGCTGGAGTTACTGGTAGAAGCAAGCTCTGCAGCCCTATGGGTTTGGTGAGCAGCCCTAGGCACTGCTCAGGAGCAGCAAGGGAAGCACCTGCCTCCCGCATCAGGTCAGATGTGGCCTCATAGTGGGGTCTCTTCACTTGGGTTTCGTTAGTGTCAGAACTGGAAGTGTTATCTGAGTTACAGCAGCTCGAAGAAAAGCTTTGACATTAGTTCCCTGCTTATTCCCTGTGGTTACAGGCACACAAATTACTTGCCCATGTAGCTTTCACATTTGGCATTTTTTAAATGGAGATGGCTCATAATTGCCAACAAGCGTTCAAATACAAATGATAAAAATCTCCTCAGGACGTTCCTAACTGAATGGCAGGAAAGGATCTCTGCACTTCTGTTTCTTACAGTGGTCATCTTCAGCCGGAATACTGAGCAGGGCAGATTCTGACCAGCTCAATGCAGCCATTCTGCTGAGCACAGAACGCCACTTTGTTCCGGGAAGGCCGCAGGAAGCCCGAGACAACAGCGGGAAGGAGCCTCCTCACATCCCTCCAGCGCCGTCAGCACAGAGCTCCCCGGTGATCTCGTGTCTTTCCTTTGAGGAAGTTGGACAAACAAGGTCAAAAGCACAATACTGACCGCAGTAACAAAAGGTATATGGAATATAATACACATGTACCTACATCTACATTGTATATGAAAGCCTCCCTCGTTCATTGATACAGATTTGTCTCACATTCATTTGTATTTCAGACTGTAGCTCTAATTCAGCCCTTCCAACTAAGCATTTTTTTTTAAGCTCCTCCAGGCAAGAGGAAAAGTACAGGAAAAGGATGTGAACTCCAGGGTTCCACCTCTCTCCAATAAAGAGGATTCTGAACTGTCAACACTTCCAGTTGGACCAAGGAAGGTCCAAGGAAGGTCCCTCAGTTGCTTTCTGTGCTACTACCTCTGGAATTCAGCACTGGTTGATGGTTACTGGAATGCAATGCCCTTTTTACCAGGAAAACTTGCAATCCAGGCACCTATGGGGTGCTCACCTATCCAGAGCATGGCTGTAGCAGAAGACAGGAATCCCTCAGGCCACTGCATGGTGCAGCAGTGTCCAGTGGCCGCTTGCTGGACAGCACAGCTCAGAGCAGACTCCACAAGGAGGCAAAACCTCCCACCTTAGCAATAACCTTAGCACTTAACTAGCAGCACTGCATTCATGCGCAGCCACTCATCTATCTTTACCCTGGTACACGATATTCCTCACTTTTAAGTCCATCTCATTTAACTCCAAAAAATGTTCTGCTTCCTTCTCACTAAGATCCATATGTGGAGATATTCCAGAATAGTTTGTCCCATTACTGATTTCTTGGATCACAGCCCACCACCCATTTAATCCTTCTACATTCAAAACTCACAGTGCTTAGTGCAAGACTTCACCACACGATTCACCATCATACTAGGCCTCCACTATTTGATGTAAAGGAATAACATGATTCTGTCCAGTACTGCCAATGCCCTATCAGGCAACAACCCAAATATTGTGCAAAACACAGAACAATGGGAGCTGCTTTGAGTATCTGAAGTGTCACCCAGAATCTTACATTTATTTTGCTTCTACTCCAACTCCAGTAACTGAAAGAACAGCTATTCTCATCAGTTTTACTGCACATCATAAAATAACATCTCCAGATGTTTTCCTTATGTTGCATATTGGCTTCACAAAAAAGGGAAACGCCTTTTCTGCTTGACAGCACCTTCAAACCCAAGAGGCATCATAATCCCACCTCATCTTCTATATATAGTTGTATTGAAGGTCAAGCCTTTTGAAAATACCCAACATGCTACTTACCAAACACCACTGCCACTGCATTAGCCATTTCTCTAATCTTCCATCATTCTTTTTCCACCAAAAAATGTGATCGAATTGAACAAGATGGGCAGCTTCAACTTACCATGCAAGCCACTTCACCACCAGTGGCCAACAGCAGCGCTCAGATTTTTCCCAAAGCTCCAGTGGGCAAGAGCTGGAGAGAGAACACTGCCCCCATCACACTTTTGAGGAGCATAATGACTAGGTTACATTGTCCAGGAGTCACTCAGGCAAAGAGGGGAATTATTCCAAGTGTCCAGTACATCCTGTACCTGTCAATGCATCAAAGCTACTTTGCCTCTGTAGCTCTTGTAAAGTACAAGCTGTGAAGGAACACCTTGAGCCACTACAGAACTGACATGCAAGAGCTAGCAGGGTTTTCACATCCTCATCTTTATTCAAAGAAGAGCACGTACAGAACACGGCCACATATTGAAATTCCTACATTCAGTAGGATTTTTGATACCAGAAGCAGTAAATCCTGCTAATAGCAGGAAGAAACCATTCTGCAATACTAAGTCTGCATCTTCAGATACCTTCAGGGGACTAAGATCATATTGTTCCTGCTAAACAGGAGCAGCCTTTGCCACTTGCTGGCTACTGCTCCCTAAAAGCAGTGACAACACCCCATGAGGCAAGACTCTGCTACACCATACTCAAACCCACAACGTAGGCAATTTGGTAGTCACACAACCTCCCCTAATTTCTGCTATTTTCAATGCTTTTAGATACTGCTACATGTTAAGTTCCACACTTCTTTTTTTGATACCTCCTGGCAGGAAAGTGCCTTTTTTCAGGTGTTTGTGACTTAGAAGCAGATATTCCATGAGCTGAAAGAATTCTGGCTCTGCAAGGAAAGGGGCTGCTAACATCCAATGCCAGCATTTTCACCAATTGTTTGAAGGGAGCAAACTTTACAGTAATCCTCTGTTTTAGAGAACTGTTTTAGTGAAATAGTGAACTTGAGGAGTATCAAAATAGTCTCCAACTGTGTAGCTTTATCAATTGTTGGGTATCCTGCCACTGTGACATTTTCTTTTATGATGCTTTCCTGCAATTTAGAGGGCCATGCTTTAATGCAGATTTTCTTATTTACGTAATGGTTTGTCTTCGAACTCCAATTTATTTGGTTAATGATTTCTGTGATCCCTCTTCCTGGAAGAAGGCTCATTTGCTGAACACAATGAGCATGCTGCAACCACTTCACTGCAGGTACTTCTCAAATCAATGTTCAAAGCAGTCATTTGGATGCATGCACTCCCTCATCCCCACCCCAGAGAACAGGTAACATTCCCAGGATCTTTCCATAAAACAAACAGTCCCAGTCCAATGATCTTACAGAGAATACAACTCCTCTTTCCCCCCCTCTAGACAGAGAAAACAAGGCAGGTTTTAGACCTGGCTTTTCTCATAGGAAAATTCTGACTACATTTGAGTAGCAGACATTGAATTAGTCCACTACTTCCTTGCAAGTGTCAGTTTTGCTTCCTCAGTCTTCAGCAATTGACGTGCACACTACAAAGATACTTTGGAAATACAAATGCCCTTGGTGCACCCCCCCCCCCCCCCCCACACACACACACTAAATGAAGCTCACTGCTCACTCAATTCCCAAGAACTGCTGTTAGGGTACCACAAAGTTTCAGAGGAGGTGCTATTTTAAGTATGTAGACACAGTGATTTGGTTCACATGTAATTTCTGAAAGCAGTATCTGCTAAGCAGTATGACATCAACTATTTTGGCAGATTTTAAAAACATGGTGTCCCACTTCAAGCAGCAAAAAATGTCTTCAGGTGTTATACTTCCTTCCAGTTACAGACCATCCAAACTTGTCAGGTAGCACTGACAACATGTTCCAACTCATCACTGGAAAAAGGAGAATAAGGTCTAAGTAAAATGGCTCCTTTTGAAAAATAAATTGAAATTTGCAAATACACACATTTTGCATACTTTTTTTTGCAGAATGTAGTAACACTTAAACACAATATGTAAAAAACCCCTAAATCTAGTCTTTTGGTCTCATCTCAGATGCCGGATCCGTGGTAGGTTTTTCATCAAATAAATCAGGTTCGGGATAGGATCATCACAGATGAGATGCAAAAGCAATGCAACAAATTTAGTTTAAAAGGGAACATGGCAGTTTTGTCCAGGATTCCTGATTAAGAAATTAAAATATTCTCAATCCTTCAACATACTTAAGATAGACACTTATTTTAAACTTCCCAAATAGATTACAAGGCTAACCAAGTTTAGGCACTATTATTGGCACACACAGTGCTTTTAGGAAGAAGTAGTCTTAAGTTTGAGACAGTTACAGATTTACTCTATTGAAGTATTTCAAGGCTTTTAAATTACATACCTGAAGAATTAGAAGTATTTGTTCCCATGTTATTTGCAATTTTCCTGTCAAAGAGATAATTTATTAGTTAAAAATATTTTCTTCCGTCACTTGTGATACAAAGTTTTTAATCTTTCAAGTAGATCAATAAACTGTATTACTGAATAATTTATCACTATCTGGATTCTGGAAGTCAAGATTTAAAACTTTGAACATCCTCATAGCACAGTAAGATTTTGCTTCTCTTGTGCAGCTATTTTTCAATTGGCCTCTACAATTATGACAGGCAACTAAGCAATTAAGCATAATCCTTCCTCTTAAAGTAACAGGCTTGCCACTGATCAGACATACCAATGTTCTAACCATCACTCCCATATGCCAAACTTATAGACCTACTCATAACATTCATTGTATTTCATATCTTTAAGGCAGAAGCACCACTAAAGACAAACTGCAGGGCTGCTATACTAAAGCTTGCTGCTACAAGCTTTCCCCAGCCATGAGACAGGCCCACAGCCTCACTTCCATGTTTGCAACATGGCTCATCTAAATGTTAAAAGCATTTTACAGGTAACACTGCTTCGTGTATGAGTTCTACTCCTATGTTCCAACTCCGTATACTGAGACTTTTTGAAACCTGGCCTCCAAAAAAACCACTAATAGCTGGCAACGTCTTAAAAAACTTTTTATTAAAAAGGGGAATGGAATTAGATAGGAATTATAATGTATTTATCACACAAAATAAGCTTTATGATATAAGTACACATGCTGGAAGAACACATTACAATTAATATTAAGTTTCATCTGCTTAATCAATAAAACAGTTACCTCTATCTGCTACATTGCAGTCACCAGGAAATCTCTCATCAGGACATTTCACTTGCACATTCTTAAAGCTGTTGGTTGATACATACCATACTGGAAATATAAACAGCCAATTACAATGTGATCATGCAGAATATAACCCAGTGCTTTAAAAACAACCACATCCACACTGCTGCATTCCTCCCATTCATTACATTTTTCTTTTCCAAGCACAATCACTGGTTGGAGGCATTTGAGTTGTATGCAGATTAAACCGGGTACAACTCCTGAATTTATTTCCCAGTATTGCAAAAAAAGAATGAATACACATTTCAAGACAGATGTTAAGTAACACATTTGGAAAGCAATCACTCCTCCATTTTTAAGCTAACTACATGCCTATGATTTCAGTCATATATATATTTTGCCAATCACATAAATACATACATAGCTTTCAGGAACATCCACTTGTGTGTCCCAAGCATTCTTCTAATTCTGACAGCATTTCCATGAAGGGCTAGAATTCAAATTAAAGAACTGCATTTCAAAATTGAAAATGCTCAATAAGCTTTATTGTCACATATTAGTAAAGTCATCATCATTAATTACCAAGTGCTGAAAATGAATGCTTTTAATACACCCATTCAAAACTCATCTATTAAAAGATTTCAACAATACTTAAGTTAAAAGTCTGTACTAGACAGACTTCTAGAACAGGCAACAGAAATAGCCATCCTGAATTGTTTGTGGCTGCATTTGCAATACCCAGAATGTCTGAACAGTTAAGTTTCTGTAATTTTATGTAATAAGGATTCAATAAATTTAAATTTCTTCACAATGCAACACTAGTCTAGTCCATAGATTGTGGAACCATTAACTCAGTTACGTTTAAATACACTCAATACGGAGATGGTCTTTACATAACCTATGCAGGTTTTCCATGCACAGATCTTCACACTTCAAGTCACAAAACCTCACTTGGAATTGAAAGTGTTCCTTAGGGATCATGTGGTCCAACCTTTCCACTACAGCAGGCTGCCCATGTCCAGTCTGGTTCTGATCATCTCCAAGGGCACAGCCTCCACAATCTCTCTAGTCAAATTTCTCCATAATGTTACAGCAAGAAAAATGAGAGTGAAGACAGCTGAGGCTGAACTCATTAAACGTTTAGGTAATAACCAGATTAAACGCAATTGTGAAAATTAAACATGTTACTGCAGTTTGTCACACTTGCTAATCAGCTCTTTGTCACCTGATCAATAGCTCTTTTCAGAAAGACAAAAGCAGGAAAATAGCCTAAGAAATGGAAGAACCGAAGATAACCAACAGCAAACATGTAATGTTCTTTCCACACCAAGCAAAAAATGAAACAGAAACATACCTTAAAGCTTCTGTACAACCTATCAGACGTCATTAAATACTTCTTCATAGTACCTAAAAATAAACAAAATACACTTAACACCTGAAAACAACAATCAGGATTTCATGAGCCAGGACAAGGACCACACAAGAAGCTATCCACAATTCCACAAAAGGTAAACTTTAAATCCTTAAACCACTGCAAGATTAAGCTTGTTCCTTTGTTCCAAGCCCGTTTCTCATCACTTAACAGAAACATTAGTGTTTACTCGCATTTTTTTTATCACGTGTGATTTTAGATTTTTATGGTAGTTGTATAGTTACGATTCCTAAAAGAAAATCCCATAAAATTTAGGATTGAGCAGGCTAAAGCAAGCGCAACCATGCTACAAACCTGCACACCAACCCTATGCAAAATGAGCTGGCTGCCTCCTTCTCCAAGAAGCCTTAAGCCACCTCGTGAAGTGCTTTGTTCCCCTCTAGGCATTTGCGGCGACTTCACTCATCAGCAGCAAGGACGGAGGCTCCAAATGAACGACTGCAGCACCTTGGGAAGGGCCTACCCCTCATCCCCAGCCCTGAGGCGTGGGCGCCACGTGCTGCGCAGACCCAGGAGGCCCCAACGGCCGCAACGGGCTGCGTATCAAAATGGCGCGGGCCCGGACACAGCCTCACCCCGCGCGGGGCAAAATGGTCCCCCAACCGCCACGCGGGCGGCGGCCGCGGAGACTACAAGCCCCACAGTGCCCCGCGCCCCAGCTTCCGTTCCGCCGCGGGGCACGCTGGGACTTGCAGTCCGCGCCCGTGGCCGACGCCTCCGAGGCGAGCGGGTGGCTCGGCCACCCCCGCGGCGCGGCCGGAAGCCGCCGCTCAGCCCCGCCGTCCACGGAGGGTCTCGCCCCGCTTCGACCCTCAACCGCTACGCGACACCGAAGCGCGGCGAGAGCCCACGAAGAGGGCGGCCCTCACAAAGAGCAGAGCACAAGGTAAAGCGGAGAGCTGCCCCCACCAGCAAGGGGAGCCGCAGCACCCCCGCCCCGCCGCCGCCGCCATCGTCTCACCCGCTGCCGCCGCCGCTCCGCCGAGAAAGAGGGAGTGGTGGGCGCGCGCTGCCTTTATATGGCGGGTCTGCATGGGAAAGAGGCTGGCCACGCCCCTCGGGGGGATGGCCACGCCCCCGGGATGGGCGGGGTGGCGGGCGGCCGTTACCCGCCCCGCCGTGAGGCGCGGCCATGGCGGCCGCGCGCGTGGCAGTGGGCAGGCTGCTGTGGAGCGTGTAGCTGGCGAGCAGCGACACGAGCCGTCCTGAATTCACAAGAGATATTTTTCACAGAACGGGCGTGTCCCGGTTCTGTGTCCTCTCCTAGGGGCCCGGCTTGTTAACGTGTCACTGCGCAGCTCTGCCGCCGTGTCTCAGCTTCCCTTTGTCTCTAGTGAGGTCTCTGAGTGCTGCCACGCGCACACACTTTCCCCTTTTGGAAACAGAAGGCAATGCTCCCTCGTGCTGCAGGCCATCAGCGCTGAGGAATTTCTCCTTAGCCACAGCAGGCAGAAAGCAGGCTTGAATTCCTGCTTTTTCTTCCTGCGGTTTTCATCCCGGGAAGCCTGAGGCCACCGATCCCCGGCAGACCCTAAATGGGCTGCCCCAGTCCTGACACAATTTTAGCTGTCACAGAAGTACTGCAAACTGTACAATAGCAGACAGAAAGCTGATCAGTTTTCAGCTGAATCAGCTTCCTGTGCAGGCATGGGAGCACTAGTGAAAGGGATGGGAACATGGATCGGGGCCGTGCGGGAGATGGCAGCATCCCTGCGGGCCAGGGGATGTTTAAACTGGCGGAGCCACGTCCCGAATTCCTGTAATCGATATGGAGGTTCTCTGTGTGTAAATAGTCTGTAACTTTACTGCCCACCTTGTTCCTGAGAGGTTTATTTTGTATACCATTCCTTTTAGCAGAGGAAAGCTGAAGAAAAACAAAAACAAAAACAAAAACAAACAAAAAAAAAAAAAAAAAAAAGGAAGGAAGAGGAAAGAAAAGTTAAAAAAATTGTTCAGTGTTTTGGCCACCCGCAACTTGGTGGTCCCCAAATAGAGATGGACTTTAGAAGAGAGTCGTATTCATTGGGAACTAGTACAGAAAGTCTAGAGAAAGGTATTTTACTATGGCAACATATCTAGTAATTTTATTCCCAAAGCTATTGATCAAGATAACTTCAGCAAGAGAAGTACAATCAAGAGAACTAAATACCTGACAGAAAAGTTTGTCCTTGTTTTCTCCTGAGGGCACAGTGGGACCATGCCCTTCTCTCCCTCTCTCCCTTTGTTCCTGCACATCACGGTCTACCTGAGATACCTCCTTGCCTGCGAGCAGAGCGGTCCCAACGGCAGGTGGCAGGTTGTGGTTGAGCTGCAGCTATCCGAGGTGTCGGGAAGATGATCCAGGTGCCTCCTGTTTCCCTAAGCACCTCTGACCTGCGCTTGGTGAAGCTGCTGTTTCTGCATGGGAGGGAACACACAGCAAGAAGCCTCAGTGCGGATGAACTTGCACTCAGTTTATGCTGGTGCATCCATCTGGCCTGTTAGGAAGGTCCCCAAACTGCCTTTTGCCCCCCAGTGCTGAATACATAGAGCCTCTCCTCCCTAGTGACACCAGGGTTAAAGTCATGTGCAATAATTGCAGCAATTAACTTTTTTTGTCCCTAAAGAAAGAAGGCAGCCGCTTACTGTCCATTTCCTAAATGCTAAATACTTATACCTTTTCTACAGTACTTTGTGGAGATCTTTTACATATGTTCCTCTCTTAAAGAAAGGAGTTTCTTTTCTGGGGCAAAAAATGAAGAAACTCATAATCTAAAACAAATGAGACACACGAAACACAAATGAGTACAGTTTTAGCTTACTATTGGAGATAAGAGTAGTATATAAACAGTGAGATGACTCAGGGCCTGTCCAGAGCTGTGGGATGCTGCATTGCACTGTGAGTGCCACGCAGGAAGCAAGGGCAGGCGTTTGCTGAAGGAAATCCCTGCATCTTGCAGTGCTGCCCCACACCAGAGGAAACCTCCTCTTCTCCGGGTTTTGGGATGCTGGTCTACTAGCAGTGCCTGAATGAGCACGGGATACAAAACGGGATTCAGCTGCAGACACACTCATATTTCTCAATATTTCTCAGTATGGCCTAAGTCCACTAGTGCTGGACAAGCTTGTGGGTGAAGTACAGCTTTACTGTATTGTAGATAAGCAATATGACCAAGTTTACAAGGCTGAAAAAAAGACGATCAAAACACAACCTATATCACCCTTCCCGAGTATATTTTAAAATACTAGACTTTCAGGGCTGGGTTTATTAGTTTGTTTTTGCCTTGAGTCTTCCCCATCTTTAAGCTCTATCCCAGGTGTTAGGATGAGGCTGCACCTACACAGAAGCATCTCATCCTCAAACCCTCCCTAGAGACTGTTTGCACTAAGGCGAGTGTGAACCGCAAACCTTGTAGCCACCAAAGGTTAGTTTTTAGATGAATTGCTTCCTAATTTATCATATCAAACAGCTGTGTGTCTGTGCACAGCGTAAGTGCTGGTAAAAAAAAAGGAGTCCTTGGTCCAAGCCGCTGGGAGCATTGCTGTGTTGCCTCTTTCGAGGCCTGCACAAATTTAGACCAGACTAAAGCAACCACAGGCTGAAAGGCTGGTATTTGCAGTACCTCCAAGGCTTTTGAGCTCCAGACAACAAAAGTTCTTTTTTTTCTTTTTAAATTTATTTTTGTCTTGTTCTCTCTCTTTCTTTCTCTTGTTCTGTTTTTTTTTCCTCCGCCCGGCTTCCCTTCCCATTTTAAATCTGGCTTGGTGGCTTTTTTCCAATTGCAGCGTTGCAGCTTTGATGACTCACGTCTCTTGGTTTAGCTTGGGGCTGTTACTGGTGCATCCTTTGGGATGCTGAGTTCCCCTCCCCTCTCATCTCCCGAGCAGGAAGTCTATTGTATACAGCTTTAATTTCTTCCTCCTTAGAACGGATGGTGCTCATTGTAAAATCATAAAATACATCGTCGAATTCATCAGCAGTGGAACAGTTTTTTTTTAGTTTATGATTTTGACCCAATTCTTAACTTTTTATAGAGACCAGAGTCTGTTATTCATACTTCTTCTATATATCGTTTCTAAGTTCTAGACACTTTAGTGTTACAGAAAAACAAACATATTCTGCTTATGATAAATGAGATCATAAAAGCATAAGAGCAGCTGTGCAGAGGCAGAGCATAAGTCCGTCTCCCCCGGTATCCTGCCTCCCGCCCTAGCCAAGAGTGAATGCCTAGGGAGAGATGTAGGAATAGCACAAGCACACAGCAATCCTTCCTCCAAATATTCTCCCAGCCATTGGGAATGTAAAACTTGGAGACCTTGTGGGGATGTTTTTGTGAATATAACAACCTTCAATGAATTTGTAATCTGTAAATTTACCAAATCTGTCCCGGACTTGCAAAATTTTAGCATTCACAATGCCCATGGCAAGGACTTCCAAAGTTTAGTTAGCGTTACAGAAAAGAAATAATTAATTAACCTCTCCTGATTTGCTTTGTGCCAGGTGTCCTTAGCTTGCTGCAGTTTTAGAAGAAGCAGGGAGCCATCCATCCTGTGCAGCCATTTCCTCTGCCAGTGCTTTTATAAATTCCCATGAAACTTTCCCCCCACCCTTGTTTCTTTTCCAGGCTGAAAAATCCGTGTCTACTTAGTTGTTCCTCCCATGGGAGGCGTTCCTCACCTGTGACTTTACCCTCATTGCTCTCGCTTTGTGAGATCAAGGCCCTAACAGTAATTCAAGGAGCAGCCTGTATTCAAGAAGCAGCCACAAATGGCTTTATACAGTAGCATAATAATTTTATTCTCTGCTTCCCAGCAATTACAAACCTCTGTTTTACTTTCTGGATGATAACTGTGCACTGAGTTGACATTTCTATAGATCTGTCATAGCTACAGGATCTCAGTTCTGAGCAGTAAAGGTCAGAGCCCATCGTTTTGTGTTTGACATTATGATTGCTTTTCTCAGGGAGGAATACTTTATATTGATGCACATGGAATTCCATGTGTTGTTATATCCACTTAGTTTTTAAGATCCTTCATCTCTATTTTTCAGCCATGGATAATCAAGTAATTGATTTCTTTCTAGAAATGAACCATTTACTTCTACCCTCTGTTTCCTATCTTTCAACCTCTTATCCTATATCCGCTTGGTTTCCTTAGTAAAAGGGTCTTCTGGAAACCCTTGCACTATCTCTGCAAAACCTGCCTTATCATGTGCTTGCTGATAAGAAGCTTGATGTACCTTC